GACTCCTATGGTAAGGGGTGGGTAAGATCTAAGCTGAGGTAACTGTGCTAGAAGTTACAAAGCAGCTGTGAAAGACCATGCACCATTGACAGACACTAGTTTTTTCTCCATCCTGAGGGTAACACAGAAAGTAGGAATCATGGTCCTTTCTTGGGGGTCCATTAGGAGTGTGTGCTCAGTATAAACTGAGCTGGGGGAAAATACCCCTCAAATACCTTATCAGTATTTTCAATGTATTTTTTTTCCAGCAAGATATCAGATGGGGTATTTATTTGAAAATGGCTGACCCGAAAATATTTGGGATTTTTTTGGGGCCACTGGATAGCTGGTGTTAAAGGGTATTTAAAGGGATTGCAGTCCCTTTAACACCTTCCAGGTGAAGCCACAGCTTGGAGAAGGCATTTAAAGGGACCACAAGCCCTTTAAATGCCTTTGGAGTTTAGCCAAGGCTTGGACAAGTTACTTAAAGGGACCGCATTCCCTTTAAATGCCCTTCCCCCCTCCATTGGAAGCAATAGGGGAAGGGGGCACCTTCTTTTGGGGCCGATAGAACTGGACCCCTTGGTCCAATTGTTTTGAAACTTGGGGGGGGGGTGTTTGTTTGTTTCAAGGAGAGGTGCCAGAAGCTATGCTGAAAATTTGGTGCTCTGCCTCAAAAAACAGCCAACCACAGAGCCCCAGATACCCTCCGATCAATTTTCCATTATACCCTATGGCTCTGATAGGGTATAATGGAGCCAATTTTTTTTGGCTATCTTGAATATTTACCGAATCCAAATACCAAACTGGTATTGGGATTCAGGAATATTGGGAAATACCAATATTTTTCAGGTTTAATATACCCAAACCTGAAAAATACAATTTTGTACACCCCTAGGCTCCATAGGGTCGTGAAGAGTCGGACTCGACTGTGCGACTGAACAACAAGAAAAGTCTCCATAGGCCATGCATGTTTTTCTCAAGCTCCAAGATGCCTTCATGGAATGCTAGATTTCTACTATGAAGAGTCTTGGAGAAGGGCATGCATCATGCTCCGCTAGATGCACATCTGCCTTCTTTTCTAGTGGTACCAGAGTCCTGTTGAATTGCAGCCAACTTATGGTGACCCCTGGTGGGGTTTTCAAAACAAGAGACTTTTCAGAGGTGGCTTGTCATTGACTGCCTCTGCATGGCGACCATGGACTTCCTTAGTGGTCTCCCATCCAAGTACTAACCAGGGTGACCCTGATTAGCTTTTGAAATCTGATGACTTCCAGCTGCCTAGACCATCCAGGTCAGGGCCTTCTTTCCTACCATGTTCTAGAGACCACAGTCCTGTGGAGACAGAAGGAGGCAAGGTGACGTTTGTAGGCAGGGAAAGTGTTAGTGTCTGGAGAACAAAGCAATTAAAATGAAACTCCAAGAGACAATGTCTAGTTAAACAGCTCTATGCTACATGATTACAGTAAAGGCCGCTAGCAAGGCAGCAATTTATCAAGGCGAGAAAGGTAACTTAATAGAGGAGATTATCAAAGAACAGACAAAGGCGATTATCAAGCAAAGCTTCATAGCATTCCCAAGTCCTATTTAAGAGTGGCCTGGAAGATTACAAAGAAGAATACTAATTCAGTATTTCTTTGTAGCACCCAAAGGGGATGTTGAACGGGAGGGGACACACATGGGCTACCCATAGATTTACAGGCCGTCTGGGTTACCAGTGGAAGGTCCCGTTCTGACATCCCACCGAGCTGCTCTGAAGCAAATGTGCCCTACATCTGGTTGTCTTTCTTGTAACATCTGGACACCCTTTCTCAATGGGTAGGGTTGCCAGCTCCGAATTGGGAAATACCTGTAGATTTGGGGGGTGGAGCCTGAGGAGGGTGAGGTTTGGGGAGGGGAGGGACTTCAGTGGGGTACAAGGCCACAGAGTCCACCTTCCAAAGCAGCCATTTTCTCTAGGAGAACTGATCCCTGTCGTCTAGAGATCAGGCGTAATCCCAGGAGATGTCCCCCTACCACCTGCAGGCTTGCAACCCTATCAACGGTACTTGATCCGACGGCTTGAAAATCAGGTTCATTATAGCCTCACATTTGTTTGCTTTCCTTTTCCAGGTGAGTTTCATAGGTGTGCATTTACACAAAAAGGACCCGGGCACTTCCAAGGAGTAAAAGGAACATGCACTAATGAAGCACTCTGAGGTTTAAGATGTATGAACGCATTCATATGAGAGTGTATCTTAGGAGCTTTACTAACCTTTAAGTCCTAGCACAAGGCAATTCAAATTAAAATACCCCGTGTCATCACTTGATTTCTCTGCTACTTAAACTAAAAATCCACCATATAAATCAATATTATAAATAAAAACTGCAGGAATGCTCTGCAACTGGCAATAAATTGAGAATAATTGACCTTGTCCTTTTGAAAGAATGAGTATCTTTAGATCACAGTAACTGCGACAATTGGTTCCAAATGGACTTTAAAGAAAGAACTGTGCATTTCACAAGGTATTAAATTGCTTATGTTCCCAGGAGCAAACATTTCTTCTTCTCCTTCCGTTGCCCCCAGGGTATTTGTTTGAAACTCAAAAGGCAAAAATCATGGAGCTTACAAAAGAAAATATGCTTGTCCTATTATGTTCTCTGTCACTTTACAATATGGAACTATCTAGATCTCTTATTATCAAATATCTCATTGTCACATTAAACTTAGAAACCTGTGATACAGCTTTGTAGCAGTGAACTGTTTGATCGTGATCAGGAAAAATCTGATGCCCTATTATTCTTTGGGATTACATTAAAAAAGACACAGCTCGTAATTAAGGGAAACAGGAACCAAGGTCCTGCCAGACAGACAAACACACACACTGCAGTCATTTTGGTGTTCATAAGATTAGAATTGGTCAACGAAACCAAACAGGCTTGGGCATTCCCACTGAGTGAGAAGATAGCCGTCATTTTCAAATAGCGCAGCCCTGATTTTTTTTATTGGATAAGGTGGGAAACTAGGTAGGAAGAATTTACTGAGGACACATGAGAAAGGGTAAAACAACTTTAGAGTCCAATGGTACCTTTAAGACAAACAAAGATTTATTTGAGGTATGACCTTTCGTGTGCACACTCACGTTATCAAACACGAGAAAGGGGATGTCACATGGTGTTAGGGTGGCCAGTCTGGGATTTCAGCTCATCTCCAGACTGCAGAGATCAGTTCCCCTGGGGAAAATGGATCCTTTGAAGGGTGGACTCTATGGCATTGTGCCCCCCCTTTGAGGTCCCTGTCCTCCCCAGGCTCCACCCCCAAATCTCTAAGAGTTTCCCAACCTGGAGCTGGCAACTCTGTGCCCCCATCCCACACTGGTGGCCAGGGAGGGCCTGGAGACATTATATTGCTCCTCAACCCAGTCTTAGCAAAGGGAAAAAAATGCCAGACACACTACGAAACTTTTTTCTATAGTGCTACTTTTTAAAGAAAAAAGGCAATATCCAAGATTGCCGAAACTGCCGGAGCATGGAGCTAATGAACCATGCAACAAGACTACTGGGGGAGGCGATACTCTCAAAAGAGTGGTTTCAACAGGAACGGGAGATCAAAGCACTGTTTTACTCTGGAGATGAGTACAACAGATATTATATTTACTGTTTTGATCAATTTTAACAATAGGTATACTTGCTCACTACTAAGCATGTCCTTTCCCCATAAACACTATACTCCCAGTCCCAGATTCTATCAGATAACTGATTAGAAATACCTAGTCAAGGTTGTGCCCTGAACTGCATAGCACAGGATAGCTCAACCTTGTTAGATCTTGGAAGCAAAGCAGGGTCAGCCCTGGTCAGCATTTGGATGGGAAACCACTAAGGAATAACAGGGTTGCGACAGAGGGGCAGGCAACGGCAAGCCACCTCTGAACATCTCTTGCCTTGAAAACCTCACCGGGGTCACCATAAGTCAGCTGTGACTTGATGGCAAAAGGGGGGAAGGAGCCAAGATTGTATAGAGCACTAAGGTCCACCAATCAACATCTCCTTGTGATCCCCGGCCCCAGGGATGTCTTAGCCCTGGCCCCTGCCTGGTGGAATGAACTCCCGACTGAGATCAGGGCCCTGTGGGACTTATTGCAATTCCACAAGGCCTGCAAGATGGAGCTCTTCCACCGAGCTTCCGGTTGAGGCAGGGGGCGTCCCCCTCCTTGGGTTGGCCCTTATTTACAACCTGGGTCAGCCCCCATTTACAGCTTGGGCTGGCCCCTATTTATAGCCTGGGTCTGAGATCCTAAACTTTACAGATCTCTGGGTAACTTATCCCCAGTACTATTAACCACTGAGGTAACTGGCTTTTATTAGAGCTGTGTGTTTTACATGTTTTAATGTGGTTTTAATTGTATAGTATTTTATATTGTTGTATTTATTTAAAGAAGAGGGGGATGGCAAAGGATGAGATGGTTAGACAGTGTCATAGATGCAACGAACATGAAGTTGAGCAAACTTCAGAGGACGGCAGAAGACCGGAAGGCCTGGCGTGATCTGGTCCATGGGGTCGCGAAGAGTCAGACTCAGCTGTGCGACTTAACAACAACAACAAAATTTATTTACACTGTTAGAACCCGCTTTGAGCCCGTCAAGGGGAGGGCGGGATAAAAATGCAAATAAATAAATATAGTCATAGGGATAGGGCACAATCCACTAGAAAATCTCCTTACCCAAATCCCATGCAAAGGAACAGGAGGTCCACATGTGCCTCTTGAGTTCTACAAGGTACTGATACGAAGGGTGGCAGACAGGTGGAAGGCTTTGCATTCACATGTTTTTGTACACCATTTGCACCAAAGATTGGACCACCCGTGGCCCACACTGGTGGCAGACCAGGTTAAATATATGGATTTGCTGCAGCCACATGTAGTCAGGGCATCAAACAAATGTTTAGCATATGAGCCCGTAAGCATTAGTGCACAGTAACTTAGTGGTCATAGCGCAAAGTCTTAGTAGATGTTTCTCAGCAGTCAGCAGGAGGGCCTGCACACCTATTGGACAGGTGAAACATTTCTGGAGGTTGGAGGCTCATGGAAGTATGAAAGTTCTCAAAGACGTGCTGAAAGGGGATCAGCATGATTGCCATTGTGTGAAGCCTTTGAAGACCATGCCTGGCCATGCTCAAAAACATGCACATGGTCACACATAAAGCTGACTGATACTGAATCAGACCATTATTCCATCAAGGTCAGTATTGTCTACTCAGATTGACAGCACAGGGGTCTTGTGACAGACTGTACTTTTTAAAAGGCTTAGAAGTGCTGCACCTACAACTAAAGGACTGTGAAGGGTTAATTCTTCACAGAGCCAGAGAGCCTTGAGTGGCAGGCTGCTCTAAGTGATCTGATTGGTTAGCATCACCTGAGCAGGAAAAAAGTCTTGAGAGAGCTGGATGCTGAAGAAATTTAGTCAGATTCCCACCTTATCTGAGAAGAGATGTGTACTGTGATTTGTGACCCGTCTGAAAATAGCCCTGATAGAAAAAGGGTTTAGTGCTGACAGTGTCAGATTTCTACCTTGACTGAACACAGTCTGAACTCAGCATCAGCTGAGAGCAGTTTGAACACAGACAGAGAACTGGGGGAGAGTTTGGCAAGGAAGTTTGGGTAGTAGAGAAGACCCCCACTTCGGCCAAAGGAAAGGTGATAGATCTTCTAGAGGGAGAGAAGAAATTCCCTACCCATTCAAACAGGGAGCGCTATCTCTGAGGAGTACAGAGATCCCTGGTCTGGTGTGATTAGAAACTGCCTATAGAGACCTTAAAAGTCAGTAAACAACTCAACTCAAGAAGAGTACTGGTGTTCCAAGAGAAAGGTTTGGGTACTGGAAAGAGGGTACCAGCCTTTTGGGCATCAAAAGAGTTAGTGATTACTCAAATAAAGTGAACTAGAGTGTTTGGGGAAACACTGGAACAAAAGCATCTCAATATTAAGATCTAAGCAGGGCCATAGCCAGCAGTGAGGCACAAGGGGCGGCAACCCCATTTGAATCTGCAGTGCCCCCACCCCAGCAGTACCCCTGCCCCAATCTTCAAGTTGGAATCTTGGTGGGCCAGGTACTGATTTAGCTGTGCCGTGCTGCCACCAGCCCAAATGATTTTTCTAACCCTTCTGCTCGCCCTTTACCCTGGCAGCAGAAGGAAGCAGCATGTGGCCCAGAAGGAGGAAGGAAGGAGGGTTAGAGAAATTGTTTCAGGCCAGTGGTAGCACTGCATGGCTTAAGTAATACTGGCCCACCAAGAAGCAGCAGGAAGAGCTGTAGGCGAAGGCTCAAGATGGTGGTGGAAAGTGTGGCATGGGACAAGGGGGGCAGAGTTCCAGGGGTCTCAGGAGCATGCAGCTGTGTGGCTCAGCCTTTGGGAAAAGCATCCCCAGCACTGGAGCCACACTAGCTGCTCCACGGGGTGAAAAAGGCCAAGGAAGCACTTCATCCAGCATGAAGGAAGGCAACGGCCACAACCTTCAATCCATGCATAGAGTGCACCCATGCCGAACTGCCTCCTCTGGTAATTTAATTTAAATTAATTCAATGTGATTTAATTAGTGTCCCCAGCACCACCCTCCCCCCCCCCAAAAAAAAATCCTGGCTACGGGGCTAGATCTAAGTAACTAAATAAATTAAGAACTTCACATTACCCTGATACAGAAGATCAAAAGTCTGAGCCTGTACTAGTTTTACTTCAGTAATATCAACCCTTGATTTCATCTGAGCTTTCCCCTCAATGTTAAATGAATCCTTTTGTTAGTTTTGGATTTTAAAGGGTCTCAGGTGCCATTTTCAAAGGTTTAAGTTAAAGGGCGATCCTATCCCTTCCCTCGGGTTCCTGGGCTGAGCAAATTGCCAAAAATATATCTTACTGACAGGGTAGGACAGCCAAAGTTTCTTCAGGGGAGAAGAAAACACATGACCAAGGCTGCTCAGTCAGGGAGGGGACAGAAAAACAGAGGGAAAATCTAGTCCATGAGGGAGTAAAGTGGAAGAGGTCTGTCACAGGTCTTTCACATCACCTACTGCCTGGTCCTTTTTAACTAGAGATGCCAGGGATTGAACCTGGGATCTTCTGCACACCAAGCAGAGGCTCTTCCACTGAGCCATAGCCCTTCCTACAACTGTTTCATCATTCTAAAGGTACTATGAATTGTCATTTGTAATTCAGAATCTTCTGCAAAGTGCTGCTCAATGAATAAAATCCAGATTTTGAGGGCAGCTCGTTTTATCCTTGGTTTGCTTTTGAGAAGATAACATGCTACCTCTTGGTTCAGCCATATCTGAAACCTTCCTCAAGCCTAAGGAGCCTTACTCCAGATCTTGAGCAGGCACTTAAGTTGAAGGACAGCTTCCAAGGACTAAGGAAGGTTTCAAAGTTGACTGGGCAGAAGGGTAGGACATAAGCCAACATTTTCTGTAAACCAAAGCGTCAAAGGTCAGTGGTCTTCTCACACTGAATTCAATTAAATGTAAAAGAGCTTAACTTTAACTGGGTCATGCAAAAAGTTTCTCAAATCAAAACTTTAGTAGCTTAAAAGAGTTGTCCCCCCCCCCTCTAAAAAGTGTACTGTAGGTAGAGGGATCTCTTTAGATTAATGCTGATGAATTTCGGAAGATCATTTTGTATAAACTCTAGGAAAGATTACACAGCCCATAGAGCAGGAATTAGCAAGTGAATTAACACATTATTTCAGCCGAATGGTTTCTATACCTTCTGTATAAAGATGAGCCTGTTTGTTTTACAACCGCACAGTTTCACATATAAAAGCAAGCATACCTGAAATAATTTCCAACAACTACCTTTGAGAGCCAATTTGGTGCAGTGGTTAAGAGTGGCAGACTCTAATCTGGGGGAACCGGGGTTGATTCCCCACTCCTCCACATGCAGCTACTGGTGTGACCTTGGGTCATTCACAAGTTCTCTCAGAGCTGTTCACTCAGGAACAGTTCTCTCAGAGCTCTCTCAGCCGCACCTACCTCACAGGGTGTCTGTTGCAGGGAAGGAAGGGAAGGAGATTGTCAGACGCTCTGGGACTCCGAGTGAAAGGTGGGGTATAAATCCAATCTCTTCTCTCTCTTTGTACAGAATTCAGAAGATAGCCAAAGTGCCAACTGTGAGCCAACTGACTTCCTTTTCCAAACACAAGGGCCACAATCCTACACTCAGTCAGGCTGCTTAAATCCTATTCAAATCAACGAGATTTACAGTGCAGTCCTCAGCATAATTATACACTTGAGAGTCCCCTTGGACTGCAATGAGATCAAATCAGTCCATCCTAAAAGAAATCACCCCTGACTGTTCCCTGGAAGGCCAGATAATGAAACTGAAGCTCAAATACTTTGGCCACCGAATGAGAAGGGAGCACTCACTGGAGAAGACCCTGATGCTGGGAAAGATTGAAGGAAGAAGAAGACAGGGACGGCAAAGGATGAGATGGTTAGACAGTGTTACCGATGCAACGAACATGACATTGAACACACTCCGGGGGACGATGTGATGTGGTCCATGGGGTTGTGAAGAGTCAGACTCGACTGTGCAACTGAACAACAACAACAACAACAAGGCCATTGAAGTCAACAGGTTTAGGACAGCGTAACACTCTTTAGGAGTGTGCTTCGAAACAGCCTGGCGGTGAGCAGGATCCTCGAACTCAGTGTTTCCCAACCTGTGGCTCGGGACTGAAAAATGGGTCACAAAGCCTCTACAAGTGGGTCACGGGCCAGCCCTTTCTGTTGCCTTCTTTTGTATCCTGGAAACCAAGATCTGACCTTGGAAACAGTATCTTCCTTCCCCCCGCCAACTGCATATACACGTCGATCAAGTAAAATGTTCCCTGATGGTCACTACCGTGAATGAGAATCTGGGGGGGGGGGGGGAATACAGGGAGTAACGGAGAAGGAGAGGGTGGTCAAAAACTGGAATGTACCCTCCATAGGCAAAGGTTGTGTATGCTGGAACACCACTTGCTCGGGGTTCACAGTGGTGGCAGCTGCATCCTTTGTGTGATGTTTGTTGGTTTCTCTCAAAAAACACCTGTCCAACTACTGTAGAAAATGGAATGGGTGCTAAGGGCATCGTTTGCCTAGGGTGCCCAAAAAACCTTGGGTCAGCCCGGGATGGGTCACCGTACCACGTAAATTCAGGCTCATGGGTCACTTTACCAAAAAGGTTGGGAACTGCTGTTCTAAATCCAAGCCCTTTTTCTGACTGTGCCACACTTTCCAGCTACTTTTGTGAATGCACAACACTTCTCAGCTACAGTCCCCCACTGAAATTTTGCCTGCAGGGAAATCTGAGGCTAATTTGGGGGCTTCAGTTAAGGCAGGTGAAGAATTTCAAGAGAAACCAAAACAGTTTGGATGAGCAGTGAAACATCTTCAGCGAGTCTTTACCTTTTGGGCATAGGGCTGAGTATCTAACTTGTTTAATGAACCCGGGGCAGCGAAGAGCATATATGTTAGCAAGGTTTAATGTGTTGCCATCAGAAGTATTATATGGGAGATTCCAAAAAATCCCATTCGACAGTAGATTGTGTTCCTGCACTAAGCAGGAGATAGAAGCTCTTGAACATGTGTTTCTTTCATGTACTTTCTACTCGGACCTGCGCCTTACATTTATCGAGCCATGGTTGAGAAAGTATTCAGGGAAACCTGATAAATGTAAGATTTACTTTTTGCTGACAACCCAGAATCCCATAATAATTGAAAGTGTTGCAAAATTTCTGTATGAAGCTTCAAGAAAGCATTCAGTATTCCTTGCAAATTGAGTCTTATGTTCTGTATGTTATGCCAATAAAGGTTGATTGATTGATTGATTGATTGATTGACCTTCAGCGAGTTCTCCATAGTCATACTGTCAAAGTGACGCAGTTGTTGGAATAATTTTTGGGTGGACAAACTAAATTTTTATACTATCTTCATAACAGAATGGCTGAAAGCTCAGAAATAGCTTCCTATAGAACCAGAGTATGCCAGTTGTGCTTAAATGCCTGAAGAAGATCACAGGTGTATGAAATCAGATTCATGTCTTCCACCCTCTGTTAAATGTGGCTTTGGGCCCATATAGAAATTGGGGAGTGGCAGATTTGGGGTAACCCA